GGTTTGCGGTGTTTAGGGTTTGCGGTTGTTAGAGCTTGCGGTATTTAAGGTTTGCAGTGCTTAGGGTTTGCAAGAGTATAGGTTCAGGGTAGGGGCCGGGGTGTTTAGGGTTTGGGGTAGGGTATAGGGTAAGCCTCCCCGGATTGAAATTTTGTAACAGGACTTGGCAGTGATTGGGCGATTGGGATGAAGATTCGTGCAACCACGGTACTTTAGGTGCATCTATGGATATCAGAGCAGCCAAAATGGCTGGCAGCCGCACCGATATTGAATCCGACGAAGCCATACCAACGAGGTAGGCTCGGTACCAAATGCTCGTTTGAGAGTGCACAACTTGCCAGGAAACGAAATCTCAACAGCTGGTAAACAGTTCGCTGCAGAGACCTTGAATTCCAGGAGGGGGGCGCACCTTTGGCCTGGCTCCGGCTTGGGCTTGATCTCCGACTGGTTGGGGCGATCTTGTATCTCGCTGTGAATGCTCTGCTCATTGGGGACCTGGCACAGGCCCACGGGCATGTAATAGCAGTGTGCGTGTGAGATACGGCAGTGCGTCAGATGAGCAGAATGGGTACAGTAGCAGCCAACTCGAATGCATTATCAGTTGCACATGCGCGGTTTTTTTGCTGCGTGAAATTCTGATGCTCTTGATGACAGATCAGACCCCGTCTCTTCAGACAGATCTCGCACCGCCTATGGCCCATGCAGTGTGCTTACCCCACGAGAATATATTAGTTTCATCACATTAGAAAGAGTATTCTCGCTAGCAGTCTGCATGAACCTGCCTATGTGCAAGCTGAACCCTGTTCCATTCTCCAGAATGGTGATAGCAAGCCATTTGTATGGCTTCCATGAAACAAACTTTTGAGCTCGGCGTGAGGCCGTACGATCATTGAAAAAGCAGCAGGACCTGTTGCTCAGTCCTCCTCGCCATCGTCGCCCTCAGTCTCATCCTCCCACTCAGCATCCTTGGCCTTCTTGGATTTGGAGCTACTGGACTTGGCAACGGCTTTGGCCTTGCCCTTAGCCTTGGCGGTGGCCTTGGCTTTGGCCTTTCCTTTGGCCTTGGCCTTTGGAGAGGCCTTCGCTGCGGTCTTCGCTGACGCTTTGGGCTTTCCCTTCGCTGTTGCTTTCTTCACCGGCGTAGAACCTTTCGGGGTTTGCTTCGCCTTGAAGATGTCGGCCCAGGTCACCTGGTTGCGTCTCTTGCCCTTGAAGCTCGGATTCTTGCAAGTGGCACAGCCCCACCAGGAAAATCGGCACGAACTGCATCCCATGACAAGCCCATTCTCATCCGTCAGGAAAGTGACAGGGCCATCCGGAATCGTTTCATCCCTGCGCGGTCTTCCCGGCTTTCCCTTCGCCTTGGCCTTGGCCTTCGCCACGGCCTTCGCCTTGGCTTTGGCCTCCCGTGCCTCCCGGGCACGTGTGGTCGAAGGCAACTCACGAAACTCTTCAGGCTCGGGTCCATCTCCGCTCTTTGTTGTGCGGGGCTTCTTGGGGAGCTTGGGGAGCTCGAACTTCTCCTCTTCCTCCTCATCCGGCTCGGTGTCCTTGAGCGATGCGGCCTTCAAAATCGATCTCTTGCGCTTCAATTTGTGGCCCTTCCTGCGGCCACGCTTCGTGGTCTTGACAAGCGAGCCCTTAAGCTTCTTCTGGTCCGCTGGGGAAACACCTTCAAAGTCATCGTCCCGCGAACGGTCAGGAGTCTCAATCTCCTTGTCGGAACCAGTAGCAGCTGCATCGGGCACCTTGACAGGGCGATGGGCACAAGGCTAGCCGGTCTACGGTTCACGCCTGACATAATATCGGAGCCGCTAGCATACAGTGATGGGCCTCGCGCACAATCATCGCCGCCCAAGGTTGCGTTTCTACCTAGGTTGCAGCACACATATATTGTCAATTGGATGCAAGGGGTCCTACAACGGTGGGTGCAATATCAGTCGGGAGGCCTCATCTGGGCTTGGCGTGGGTGTCGTCACCGATGATGGCGCACTCGGGCCGGTTGTGGTTGAGCCTGAAACGAATTCTGGAATCGAATGTAACTGTAACCCATGCACGTGGACTATCTATAGGTGCCTCTGCTCAAACGGTCGCTCATGCCGGCTGACTTCTCCGGCTTGTCACCATCCTTCAGAAGTGCGGGCTCCGGAATTTCTGCGGGTGACCTCAAATTCAGAATTGATCCGAAGCCACAAGAAATCTGATGCACCACTTTATAGTGCAAGCAAATCATGACCCGGCTGCTGCAGTTCCAACTCCCGGATTTGTGCCATTATCGCATCCAGCTCTTGCTGCTTCTCGAGACAAAGTGTTGTTGCACTAGATCGATAGCTGATGTCCGTAGCCGTCCGTGGCAAAGCTGGCTTGTCGCCTGGCTTCTCCACACTCTCATCGTCACTTGCGGGCTCGCGGTGCGGCCTCGCAGGCTCCGGTGCCTCGGCATTCTCGGCATGGCCGCCGACACCCATGCTGGCATCCGGGGTGCCGCCACCAGCCTCTTCGACGTGCGGGCGCTCCGCAGCTTGAGGCTCTCCGTGGTGCGAAGGCTCCGCAGCTTGCGGCTCTTCGTGGTGCGAAGGCTCCGCAGCTACAGACATCGTGTCATCATCATCTTGCTCGCCCTCCGACTCTCCATTCTCACTGAACCATTCATCTTCCCATGCACCTTCAAGCTCGACGGCATCATCAGGGGGAGCTTCACCCGCGTCCGGAGCCTGAATGTTTTCAGGCTCGGCTTCACCCTGATCTGCAAGCTCATTGCGGGCCCGCTGGAGCATGCGGAAAAGCTTGCGAACTCCCTTGTC